CCCTTGCAGCTCATATCCACATTTACGCTTTTCTGCCATCCTCCCTCCTTCCCTACCTCCCTACCAAAACAACAAACAGGATGTGGGTAAAAGAGACATGGAAGATACAAAGCTCAAAACTATTAGCGGTTGTACATAAGGATACGAGGACGCCGGGGAACATGTGAGACACATGGGAAATGGACGAGAGCATGGGGATACGCGGGAAAATAAAACGAAAATGGAAGGATACGGAACGGATGGGAATGACTTATCGTCGAGTTAGAGAGATGAAGGTCAAATACGTATACATAAAGTCATGTTACCACCAAGCATGTAACGAGTATAGAATTGTTTATTTCCTAGACCATGTCTATTCATGGGCTGCTTTCGTATTCAGTCGGGTCAGGCCAGGAAAACTACCTCAGCGACGACGACGAGGACGACGACGCTCACGGCCTGTACCTTATCATCACCATGGCAGCGAGGTAGGCCAACGCAGTTGCAAAGCAGATTGATCCATCACTTTGAAACGTAACAATCAGTATTTACAGGTTCTGTGTTAACTTCGAACTTTGCACAGAGCATAGTGTAAATCTATTTTCGCTTCCTTGCCCAACTACCTTTTCCTCTTTGCTCTTTTTCCCGCTTTCCATGATATCCAGAAAATGGGGAGAAATGAATAGGAAGATCAAGTAATGCAGTGCTCCAATTTTGAAACTACCCGCTGTTTTAATGCAAGATGGTTTTTTTTTTTTTCAGAAATATCCACGTAGACCAACCAACCGACCGATCAACCCATCTGAAGCAACGCAACGGGTGCTCATTCATATCCATAATAACGGTATTGCAAGACACAACACATACATACATACAAGAAGCAAATAATTTTGTTCTATCATCCATTCGTGGCAAACATGGTTTCATCCCCGTCTTTATTGACCCCAAGAAGAAATATTGCGATGGAGCCAGAGGCTCAACCAACCGGAAGGTAGCCTTTCCCGTTTTTAGAATGACCCTAAAATTGATGTCAAGGTCCATAGTTATTCTTCAGATCACCTAGTAACCGAAAGGCGATAACTCGCATCCTCAAAACAGCATCATCATCAGCATCACAGCCCTACGGAGCAATGCGCCTGAGCTGGTCAAGAAGCTTCTGCGCTTGTTGGGCATCATAGCCCGTCGGGACTGGAGGTGCAGAACCGACCCCGTACGCTGGGGCCTCCCCGTAGCTCGGAGCTCCTGGGTTGGCGGCGCTCCTCAGGTTTCCAAGCAGAGCGTTGATGTCGATCTGGGGTGCTTGGGGAGCTACAGGGGCCGGCGCCGCGCCATAGGGCATGGCTGGATGAGGCGGTTGCTGCTGGGTCGCACTTTGAGACTGTGTCAAAGTAGCCAGGAGCGCGCTGAGGGATTCGTTGTTGAGTTGACCAACCACGCTCGAAATGTCTTGCGCTGGAGCAGGCGGCTGTATTTGAGGTGCCGGAGCCGGAGGGATGGCGTAGTGTTGTTGATATGGATAGCTAACAGGAGGTGGGACCTCTGGGCGGTACCCGTGGCCATAATTGTTGACTGGTGGGTAAGCAGGTTGCGTGGGCTGCGGCGGCTGAATGCGCTTCTTGTCGACCACCAACGCAGCAGCCTGATGCGGCGTTACCTTATAATCGTCGAAGTTGATGCTGGTGGCGGTCCGAGTAAATACCCGAATGTGGAGCTGGTGTTTGCCGGGCGAATTTGGGTCAAGGAAACTGACCGCATGCACACCCTCCACCATCTGACGTTGTACCAGCGGCTCCCGGGGAAAGCGCGGATTCGCATAAATAACATTTGTTCTCAGCCCATGTGAATGGAAGACGCCCTGAACCCACAAGACGAACTCCTTATGTACGTCTCCGAGTAGGACAAGCTGAACGTCTGGAACATCGGCTCCATAGCGGAAAGGCATGTCAAGCTCTTCGCTAGATGGCACGCGCCGATGCGGGCTGTCGTCTCTGCGTCGATAGCCGTTATCATAGTAGCGGACTGGTGGCGGCGATCTGGATCGGCGGCTGTCATATCCAGGGCCAAAATCGCGGTCTCTGGAATCCCTAGCATATCGGCCGTCTCGGCTTCCTCGGCGAGGAGAAGGTGAGCGCCCAGGACCCGGGCGGTAGTCATCTCTACGCCAGCCCGGATCCCTCGCCTCATAGCGGTCTCTTATACGGCTATCACGTGGCAAGCGGCGGTCAGGCGACCGCTCGCGCTCACGTTCACGGTCGCGCTCAGGGTGTTCTTTCCGAGTTCTATCCTGTTTCTTGGATATCTCCAAATCTTCGGAACGGTTAGCCGGCATTCAACTTCACCCAAGCCACTAGACCCCATCCAGAAAAAGAGATGGATTTTAGGGCCTGGAGTTTTATGGCAACAACTGCTGGGAGTAAGTCTACTTACTGATTGCACGCCCACCGAGCTCGATGTCGCGGCAGCCGCGAATAGCAGCAAGACCTTCCTCGATGGTATGATATTGCACGAAGCCATATGCATTCTTCAAAGAGATCTGTGCGAGGCGTCCGAACTTGCTAAAGACATCGAAGACTTCGCGTTTCGAGACTCTCTCACATGACAAGTTACCTACGTTACAGGTCAGTACATGGCACCAAACAAGACAGGCGACTGTTGCACTTACCAATAAAAATACGCGAGCCTTCAGGGAATCGTTGCTCCCATCTCGCCTCCAATGTGTACTGCCTCTCATCGGCAAGGAACTTTTCGTAGTCTTGATCGCTTGCTGGCGCATAGATGTTGCTTATGTGAGAGTTACCAGGCCCCGGAATATGTCGGGAGTTGTGTGCAGATGCGTGGGGTTGTGTTTGGGTATTATTGAAGGAATTGGGTGGGATGGGAGGCAGTGAGGAGATGGCTTCATTGCCGATACCGGAGCCGCCAGTAGACATGTACGCAGTACGTGGTGTCCCAGGTCCAACGCTGGGAGGGGAGCCTTGGGCATGTACAGAGTTATGGGGTCGGGGATGGAAGTGATGGGCCTGAGGTGGGATGGCAGGTAGACCACCTTGAGGTTTAGGTGGAAGCGAAGCAGAATGGGAAACATTCAGGGTGCTTGGCCCGTTCTGGGAAGTTTGGGTGGCAGGCGGTTTGGATGAAGCAGCTGCTACAGATGTGGCAGAGGCCGTGGTAGGTGACGCGGCAGCTCTCGCCGTGATGTTGTCCACGAGCTTCTGAATGTCAACGGCAGTGTCATCATCTTCATTTGCCGGGGTCGGGCTATTTGAAGCGGCAGCAGAGTCTTTAGTAGAGGGCTGGACATCAGGAGGGGGAGCATCTGGCATTTGGATCTCGCCAGAATCCGGTGCGGAAGGCACCTCGGCCATGGAAGAACTGCCGTTGGGCGCGGCATCGGGTACAGGATCGGGATTTGAGCTTTGGAGATGCTGATGGGGGGCGGCGGGAGCGGAATCAGATGGCGCAACTAGAGACTGAAGCGATTCGTTGGTCTGGGCTGGGAGCGGCTCGGCTTCAGAATGGGGCTGGGTTTGGCTTGTGACTATGGCTGGAGGAGACGATGAAGGATCAGAAGTAGGTGCAGTGGAGGGCTGAGTCTTCGAAGGGTCAGGCGTGGAAGAATCATTCATCATAGTTTCTGAAGCCTTTGATACATCTGGCTGAGCCTCGTCGGCCTCACCTTCACCTTGGTCCGTGGGCGAATCAAAGGTGTGCGCATAGTCATCGTTGCCCGTCTCCGGCTTGTCCCCCTGCTCGTTGTCCTGCTCCTGCTCCTGCCCATCCTCGTCATACGCATCAAGGCTGTCGTCATCATCTTCCGAATACTCGCCGGCAACTACTATGGTGTCGGACACATCGGAAGACTCTTGGACCGGCTCTGGCATGGTGGGCGAGGTGTACGAGTTGTACGAGGGTTGAGACGTAAGGTTCGGATTGGTCAGTTGATTGGTTAGTTCCTCAACTACCGCGTCAATGGCGGCGGCGTGGTCTTGTAGCCTTGGGACCAGGGTCGGCGAGGTGCTGTGGAGGGCGATTGGCTTGGGCGAGAGAGGACTTAGATCTGCAGAGGCCACAACTTCCGGCGTCTGCCCAGACATCAAGTGGAATCAGGATGGGTTGAAGAATAATCTGGGTCTTGTTGCGAGGGTGGTGAGAAGTGGTAGCGACGTGGGACAAGACGGAAGGTTAGAGTAGCGGGATCGCGAGAGGTCTTGTTTCCTGAAGTTGAATTTCGCCGGAGCAGGTTGTTCAAGCTTGTAACTGGTGAGATGTAGCAAATTGGTTTGGGCCTTGGAACGCTGTTTGGAGGTTTCGCCTAGATCACCAAACTGAATGTGAAGTGAGAGAGAGGACAAGAGCTAGTGGAGTTTGGACTTTGTTGAAGAGAGCAGCACCGCAAGGGCGACGAGGTTGAGGACTTGAGGTGGGTAAATAGTTTGCAGCGAGCTGCACCTGCGTGGTGGGCAATGTGCCTGGGGAAATGGGAAAGAAGAGTTGCGCTGAGCTGCAACTAAAGTCAAAGTGAGATTAACGATGTTGGAGAAAAGAGTTTGCAGAAGTGGAAGTGTAAGAAAGCCGCGAAAAGAAGTCACGGTAATCAGAACCGATCGCGTTCTCCAATTGCGGGGCGGAGGGGGCGGAGGGAGCGGAGGAGGAACAAGCGGAGAGCGGCGGACAGAGCTTCTTTTTACTTTGGTTGTCTCATCTGGACGTGTCGGATGAGGGCCACACTGCCAGGCTGAGGATTGTTCAATCGCAAAGACCGAGCTCAAGCTGAAGTTGCTAAGAAGGGGCGATGAGAGGAGTAGACAAAATAAAACATGTGTCACCGTGGCCAAGCCGATTTTTGATAAGTAATAGCAGACTAGCAGCAGTAGTATTTGGAGGCAGTCCAGACGTGTGCATCTGCAAAAAGGAAAAAGATGGAAAGATGAATTGGGGAAGTGGAAGCTCTGTCCCTTGGCTTTCCTGAGAGGGTGGGGCTTCTGCAAGGCTGATCCAAAGAAATTTCTCGACGAAAGCAACTGTGGACTGCAGTGACAGTGGGGCTTGCCGTGGACGGGTGTGTTTAGTGCAGTGCCCCCGGCAGTTGTATGCCCGGGCCAAACCACTGCATCTGGGGCTGCCATGAAACCACCACTTACACCCGACTGTTAACACCGGGCTTGGAAGTGAGGTGAGAACATCTTCCAGACCATCCTGTAACTCCAGTGAGACATATATACGGTTACTCTTAAAGCTTGTCGGATTTTGGAGTTTTCACGATTCAGCCTGCTAATACGGCAAACGCGTGGTTCATTCACAGGTCGTAGATGCAGATAGCTGCCCTGACAGGATGAACAACATCAGGATGAGGATGAGGCTCCTTGCCAGCCTCTCGCCCATGGTCCGCATGCGCCCTGCTTGGGCCATGAACCCTAGCCCCGTGATGGTGACTAGACGGCTGGTCCGACATCAAGCATTTGACGCTGGGTTTGACCCGGATGAGCTAGCCGAAGCACGCAGGTGGCACAAGTCATTCCAGCCAAGCACTCTTCCACAAGGCGACACTTCCTTTTCACGCTCCAGCGGCCCCGGAGGCCAGCATGTAAACAAGTTCGTCCCACTCTTCAGTTAGCCAGGTCTTGTCCGTCCAAGTTGACCCTTGAGTAGAACAGAGACAAAAGCAACAACCACATGGCCCATCTCGAAGCTCCTAGCTCATCTTCCCAAGATCTTGCATGCCAGGCTTCGAGACTCAAAATACTATACCAGGGGCAATGATTCTATAACGATACAGGCACAAACCGAGCGCAGCAGGAGTGCCAATCAAGCCGAGAACCACCAGAAGCTGTATGACGAGCTCATGAATTTATACGCGAAGACGGTCCCCGCAGAGTCGAGTCCCGACAAGGCACGTAAATATGAGGCATTGTATGTTTTCTTCGACCACTGAACATTCATTTGATAATGCAGCTCACTCTGACACTGGAGGCACTTACAGAAAGAAAAAAGCACAAGAAGAACGACTAAAGGAAAAGAAGTTCCTCAGCTTCAAGAAACAGTCCAGAAGAGGGTCTGACTACTAAAGTGTCATGACGACGGTGTAGTGGAGCGTTGCGTGGTCAAAATGGACGGAAATTAAGGTTCTAAGCCTCCACCGAAGCATGTGGTAGACCAACCAAGATTTCAGAGGATGAAAAGAAGTTTGATGTAGTGTATCTTTTGTGGTAAAGTCCAAGTGAGGTTGAGGATGGGACCAAGTTGAAGCCGAGCCGATGCCTCTTATCGGTTATCACTTCTCTATCACCCCGACCCCGTACCTGACGTATGTGATCCGTGCATCGCCCTTATGCTGCCCTTGTCCCTGCCAGAGTCGCAGGACGCTTGGCTGAAAGTGGTAAGGTTTGCAGCCAGGACGACTTACCGCCCGGCAGAATTATCGGTGGGCATAATTTTTTTGGGCCCTTGATGGCCAGCCGTCTCGACTGTCTGGTCGCTGCTGTCTGCCCCGAGTCCGTCTCGAGTTGGAACTGGGTCTCTCTTGCTCCTCTCGACAAGTGTGACAGTTCGGATCTGCCAACAGTCTTCACCATGTCACAAAAAGTCATGTAAGTTTCCAGTCTCCAGTCTCGTCATGTCTTTAGCATCGCCGCCGTTTCGTCTCGAGCTAATCAATTGTTTTCTTTTGTCACAGTGATTCGCGCATTCCTGCGCTCATTCGCAATGGCATGCAGGAGAAGAAGCGTAGCTTCTTCGTCGTCGTCGGCGACCACTCCAAGGAGGCCATTGTCCACCGTATGTCGACTCGTCCCAATACCCTTTATCCTCGACCGCGACTGCTTTCCCCCGATAAGCTACCGGTGATGGCTGACGTCCAGCTTTCCAGTTTACTACATCCTTTCCAATGCGAACATGAAGCACAACAAGTCCGTCCTCTGGGCATACAAGAGCAAGCTTCTCAATTTCACAAGTCACCGCAAGAAGCGCGAAAACAAGATCAAGAAGGAAATCAAGCGTGGCGTTCGCGAGGCCAACTCCGAGGACCCTTTCGAACTCTTCATCTCCCTCAACGATATCCGATATGTCTACTACAAGGAAACCGAAAAGATCCTCGGTAACACCTACGGCATGGCCATTTTGCAGGATTTCGAGGCCATGACACCCAATATCCTGGCCCGCACGATCGAAACTGTCGAAGGTGGCGGCTTGGTTATTCTGCTCTTGAAGGGCATGAACAGCTTGAAGCAGCTTTACACCCTTTCCATGGACGTACACTCGAGATACCGAACCGAAGCCCACGACGACGTCGTTGCGAGATTCAACGAGCGCTTTATCCTTTCCCTCGGCAGCTGCGAGTCCTGCTTGGTTGTCGACGACGAGCTCAACGTTCTCCCCATCTCGGGCGGCAAGGCTGTTAAGGCGCTACCGCGCCCCACCGACGACGAGGAGGTGAACCCGGCAAAGAAGGAGTTGGACAAGATCAAGGAGTCGCTTGAGGATACTCAGCCCATTGGCTCGCTCGTCCAGCTGGCCCGTACGACTGACCAGGCCAAGGCCCTGCTTACCTTCGTCGATGCTATTGCGGAGAAGACTCTGCGCAACACAGTTACGCTGACTGCGGCTCGTGGTCGTGGTAAATCCGCTGCTATGGGTGTCGCCATTGCGGCTGCCGTCGCTTACGGTTATAGCAATATCTTTATCACGTCTCCTTCGCCAGAAAACTTGAAGACATTGTTCGAGTTTGTTTTCAAGGGATTCGACGCTTTGGATTACAAGGACCATGCCGACTACTCCATCATCCAGTCGACGAACCCCGAGTTCAACAAGGCCATCGTTAGAGTCAACATCCACAGAAACCACCGTCAGACCATCCAGTATATCCGCCCCCAGGATGCTCATGTTCTTGGCCAGGCTGAACTGCTCGTTATCGATGAAGCTGCCGCTATTCCTCTGCCCCTGGTCAAGAAGCTCATGGGCCCCTACCTCATTTTCATGGCCTCCACCATCAGTGGTTATGAAGGTACTGGCCGCTCGCTCTCTCTCAAGCTTATCAAGCAGCTTAGGGAGCAGTCTAGGACTGGTGCTGGTGTTAAGGACGTTGTTGAGGTCGACAGGACGAGTGGCAAGGCGGCCAAGGACACAGAGACCGTTTTCACTGGTGGTCGGTCGCTCAAGGAGATTACTCTTTCTGAGCCCATCCGTTACGCCCAGGGAGATCAGGTTGAGAAGTGGTTGAACACTCTCCTCTGCTTGGACGCTACGCTGCCCAGGTCCAAACTCAACACTCAGGGATGTCCCGATCCCTCTCAGTGCGAGTTGCTCCATGTCAACCGTGACACCCTCTTCTCCTTCCACCCCGTTTCTGAGAAGTTCCTTCAGCAGATGGTTGCGCTCTATGTTGCCAGTCACTACAAGAACTCGCCCAACGACCTGCAGCTTATGAGTGATGCTCCGGCCCACGAGCTCTTCGTCCTTACTGCTCCTATCGTTGAGGGCAGACTTCCTGAGCCGTTGTGTGTTATTCAGGTCTCTCTTGAGGGTAAGATTAGCAAGCAGAGCATTCTTAACAGTCTCAGCAGGGGCTCGCAGCCTGCGGGTGACTTGATCCCCTGGCTTGTGAGCCAGCAGTTCCAGGACGATGAGTTCGCCTCGCTTTCTGGTGCTCGCGTTGTCAGAATTGCTACCAACCCTGACTACGTGTCCATGGGCTACGGCTCGAGGGCGCTTCAGTTGCTTGTCGATTACTACGAGGGCAAGTTTGCCAACCTTTCTGAGGAAGCTGGCATTATCGTACCTAAGAGCGCTCCCCGCGTGACGGACGCTGAGCTCACGAACGCCAGTCTCTTTGACGATATCAAGGTTCGCGACATGAACGAGCTCCCGCCGCTTTTCGCCAAGCTTTCCGAGCGTCGCCCTGAGCCCCTCGAGTACATCGGTGTCAGTTACGGTCTTACCCAGCCGCTCCACAAGTTCTGGAAGCGTGCTTCGTTCGCTCCAGTATACTTGAGGCAAACTGCTAACGACTTGACCGGCGAGCATACTTGCGTCATGTTGCGCCCTCTCGGCGATGGCACTGACCCCAGCTGGCTGGGCGCTTTCGCCAACGACTTCCACCGCCGTTTCCTCTCCCTTTTGTCTTACAAGTTCCGCGAGTTCCCGGCCATCTTGGCGTTGACCATCGAGGAGTCTGCCGGTGCCGGTGCCAAGCTGGACCCCTCCAACGAGCCTACACCGCTGGAGAAGGCGGGGTTGGACAAGCTCTTGACGCCCTTCGACCACAAGCGCCTTGAGAGCTATGCCAATGGCCTCCTTGATTACCATGTCGTTCTCGATCTTATCCCCAGCATTGCGCAGCTTTTCTTCGAGGGCCGCATTAGGTCAAACCTCCAGCTCAGCGGTCTTCAGCAGGCCATCCTGTTGGCTATCGGTCTCCAGCGCAAGGAGATTGATGCGATTGCCGGAGAGCTCACTCTTCCTTCCTCTCAGCTTCTGGCCATTTTCATCAAGATCATGCGCAAGATCAGCACGCACCTTGCTTCGCTGGTTGAGGGTGCTATCGCCAAGGAGATGCCTCAGCAGATCGGCGTCTCGACTGAGGACGCCTCTGCTGCGCACGATGACGAGATCATTGAGAACAACTTCGTGCCCCTTAATCAGAGCCTGGATGACGAGCTTGCTGAGGGTGGAGACCAGGCCATGAAGGCCATCAGGGCCAAGCAGAGGGAGCTCATTGACTCCCTTCCCCTGGATCAGTACGAGATCGATGGAGGTGATGCCGAGTGGAGAGAGGCCGAGAAGCGGGTCGCCAAGGCTACCAAGGAAGGGAAGTCCAACCCGCTTGTCAGTGTCAAGACCAAGAAGCGCAAGGCCGAGCCCGTTTATGAGGAGGAGAAGCCCGAGAAGAAGGATAGAGGAGACAAGAAGGGAAAGAAGCCCAAGCATGACAAGAGGAAGTGAGCACGGACTTTCTGCGACTAGGGAATGTCTTTGGCATGATTCCCACAGCTTCCACGCGCCGTCCGCTGTCCAACTGAGGTAGGACCCATGCTTCGTCTTTTTTGCATATATGGTATAGCGATTTCGCAGTATCCTCTCACCAACCTGGGTTCCGTTCAGGTAGTGGTTGTGTGGAAAGTGGGAGATGGCCATGGGGTTTGCGGACGGTAATAACGATAGCTGGAGTCCTGTGGATGCATCATGATTGAGATAATAGCTCCGGCCAAGGCCGATGATCGATGTGAGGAACTCTGGAGAACGGGCCCGGCGGTGTTGCGGCCCGGATATCTCTCCGCGCGGGACGAGAGCTTGTTGTTAAAAAGTGGAGAAGTTGATCGGCCCCGACCCCGGACGGGACCTGGACAGACGGTGCCAAGACACAGGAGATACCCACCATTAAGGAGAATGCGGGGCTAAGCTGAAATGGCATTACGGCGGCGGCTGACTGCAGAGACATGAGACAATCTGGTAACAACAACACATTGCACAAATTCTGTAGATATAGCGAAGATCCTTTTATGATTATGAGCCACACTTGGTTAAATACAATAAACTGTCAAACAGCGCAAAGCCCGTCTCGAATCTCGGTGTGCCTCCACATGCCTCGAGGTACGCACTCGACCGCTATCGATAAGTGAAAGGTACCGCCTCTAACTGAACCCCTTCCCGTCCACTGATTATTGAGGGGTCTAACCCCCGCTAGGTGTATCATCCTGACTGATCGGTTGGCTTACGGTGACAGAAACTACGAACGGACAATCTGGGGCGAGCAGCCTCTTCGTGTTACACCTCGAGCCTTGGATTGATTTGCCTACTAGGGCTTCTGTCTTACACACCTACCTAGCTTGTCTCGAACTACCTGGCGAACGAATCCGACGGTCAGCCCGCGGCAGCCCGATTGCTACCTTTCAACATCCCACAGCGATATATCGGTGACCGCATATAGTACGGACACGTTTTCTCCCTCTCGATTTCCACCCGATACTGCAGTACCTCTAGCCATCCGGCAATTCGACAAAGTCATCCGAACAACTACCTCTACGTCGAGTTCGCCCGTCTTGCGACAGTCTAGCAAGCAGATCCTGACGCCGTTGCGGCCACCAGCGTTGATCGACCCACCCCTGCGGGACGCTCGCGAACAAAGCCCTTTACATATTTGCGACCATGAGTGCCGCCAACGGTGAACAACCAGCAGTGCAGCCGTGTCGATACAAAGTTGGCAAGACTTTGGGCGCCGGTTCATACTCGGTCGTCAAGGAATGCGTACACATCGACACCGGTCGCTACTATGCGGCCAAGGTCATTAACAAGCGGCTGATGGCCGGCCGGGAACACATGGTACGCCGCCAACCTTCCATCATCCACAAAACGATGCGCAATCCGTCAACTTTATACTAACCAGCAGACTACAGGTTCGTAATGAAATCGCCGTGCTCAAGAAGGTGTCCATGGGCCACCAGAACATCCTGACCCTGGTCGACTACTTCGAGACCATGAACAACCTCTATCTCGTCACCGACCTCGCCCTGGGCGGCGAGCTCTTCGACCGCATCTGCCGCAAAGGCTCCTACTACGAATCCGACGCCGCCGACCTCATCCGCGCCACCCTGTCCGCCGTCGCCTACCTGCACGACCACGGCATCGTCCACCGCGACCTCAAGCCCGAGAACCTTCTCTTCCGCACGCCCGAGGACAACGCCGACCTGTTGATCGCCGACTTTGGTCTCAGCCGGATCATGGACGAGGAGCAATTCCACGTGCTGACCACCACCTGCGGCACACCCGGCTACATGGCACCGGAAATCTTCAAAAAGACCGGCCACGGCAAACCCGTCGACCTCTGGGCCCTCGGCGTGATCACCTACTTCCTGCTGTGCGGCTACACCCCCTTCGACCGCGACTCCGACTTCGAAGAGATGCAGGCCATCCTCAACGCCGATTACTCCTTCACCCCGCTCGAGTACTGGCGCGGCGTGTCGGACAGCGCCAAGGACTTTATCCGCAGGTGTCTGACCATCGACCCGGCCAAGCGCATGACCGCCCACGAGGCGCTGCAGCACCCCTTCGTTGCCGGCTGGGCCCGCGGAGCCGATGGCGCTGAGGCGGATAAGGGCGCTAATCTGCTGCCGACTGTCAAGAAGAACTTTAATGCGAGAAGGACGCTGCATGCGGCTATTGATACGGTGCGCGCTATTAATAAGTTGCGCGAGGGCCAATTGATGAACGGCGGGAGGAGCCGCGAGCCTGCGAAGAAAGCGGCGGCGGCGGGTGCGGGTGCGGGTGCAGGTGCGGTGCCACCGGCAGTAGGAGGTCCGGGGGTGGATGATGGATTAGCAGTAGCGCTCGGCCCAACGCTCGGAAAGGAGGCGAGCATGGTGTCGACGGCGAGCAGCAATGTCACCAAGGACAGCGGGTACGCGACGCAGCCGGATGGGGAGGGGGGCTCTAGAGATGGGGACGATGTCCTTATGAGGGATGCGTCGGCGCCAGCGCCATCATCATCATCGCCAGCGCCGCCTGCACAGCACGCATCGCCAGCGCCGCTGCACGCGGGAGTGCCGAGTATTCTACGGCCGGGCAGTATCGAGAATAAGGTTGTCGAGACTGGTAAGGGGTTGTGGAATGGGACTAGTGTTAAGCGATGATCACTCTTCTCTTTTCTTTCTGGGGGATGGGTTGGGCAGGCGGTTGATATAACTAAATATGGCTCTGGAAGGGCGGTTCGGTTCTCTTATAATGTTATAATGACGTGTTTCCAAGGTTTCTTGATGAGCGGGTTTCTTCTCAGTTGTATGGATTTTTTTTTTCGGGTTTTACTATACCAGAGTGAATAACCGGCGGGCGTTTTGCTTCTATGATATGATATGATATCTGTTACCTACACTTGCTTCTTACTTCATGGTGATGATGGTGGTTTCCGTTTCTCGCTGATGATGATGAACAGACATGGTCATCATTTGATGATATCACAACTGCTATGTTTTTGGGGTGGGGAGATATGATACCATGGCGATGAATCCGCCGGTGTGGCAAGAGACGGGTGATAATATAGCGAGATGCTCGAAAGTGTGTCTTGTTCTTTGAAGGTATAAACACAGGAAACCAGGTATAGTGTCACGGAAATCAAGAGGTTATTGCTAGGTATTCACCACCAAGGTTATCTCCTATGCAAGGGAAGAGTTTCTCTCTAGGTAGCTTCATTCAGGACGTATCAGTTTGTCTTCCCTTTTATCTCTCCTTGACATCCTAATAATGGGCAAGTTTGTTTCCCCCTTTGTTTCTCCCTTTGTTAACGTGGTTGGTGGCGCCATTGTTCAAGTTTGTCATCGTTGTCCTTGTCGTTGTCGTTCCCGTCTCAGGGGAAACTTACGACTTGGCATCTATCTGCTTGCGGCTCATCACAGGGCAGGGCAGTCATGACGTTCGGTTTCTCGCATTCGCATTTCATGTCTTCATCAGCCGGACTGCACTGCCCGTAACCATACGCGTAACCCAGCGCAGCAGCCTAGGTGATATTGTAAAGGGGGCAGTACCTACCAGGCATTGATTCACGATTATACCTACTCAAGATCCTCTACAGATCCAAGCCACAACACTCGGACTTGCTTGGCATAAAAGTTCGTCAGCACTAACCAAGTTGGAAGTATCAGGGTACGCGTATCGTATGTGTTTTGATCCTTCGAGGCTTTGAGTTGACTTGATCTTGCAAGTGGAAGTCACCACGCAATTTCAACTCACTCCAATGAGATAAACGATAATGAAAACTCCTCCGCGTATAGCAGGTGAGGTTGAAAGGCGAGCAATGGTGAAAGTCAACCTCGTCGTCGGCCTTGGACATCTTGGCAGGAACCCGAGTCCCAACAGATCAACAAGATCAGATTAAAACTGCTTGGCGCTGAGAAGCTCCCATAACAAGTTACCCCTGACAAGAAATCGGGAATTTGGAATGACTTGCTTCAAGTTCTTTTTCCACTTTGAAATATTCGTCGGCGTTTACTGTTTTGCCAAAATACAGCATTGTGATAAAGTGGCACTGCAGGGGTCAACACCAGCCACTTGGTTTTCAAACTTTTCGAGATCTGAAGACTGAGAAGGGTTTTTCTCAGGTCCCGCCCCATCTATCCCCGGCCCCTGATCTTTGCACTAAAGTTTGCGTATTTATATGCATCTATCGAGAACGCTAACGCTACTTACGGGGATGGAGATTTTCGGTATGTTGTAGCGGGCCTTTTCGGTGTGTGGAGTTTTGTTTTCCTCGGAGCGGAGCGGGAACCGACACGTTTTGTTTCTTTGCAAAAGGTGACTTCCATGTCTGTCGGTCAATCGTTCCGTGGCCTCTACCCTACATCGTCGGTCGTCGGCTGTTGGTTGCATTTACTTTGTGCATTTGCCGTTGCGGTGGGTGGTGATGTGCGTGGAAGGGTGTGGGCCCTAGGTACAGTATGTGAATAGGTATCTGCATACATACAAAAGCTCAGCATTCAGGTACCTAGAGTACCGTGACGGCTCCGGCAGCTGAATGAAGCTCATAGTTTCCTCTTGAGGTGTAATGAAGTTGTAAGTGGTGTATCAGATCCGCGCATTGTTTGATTGGGCGGCGTTCACTATTATGGGAAAAGGAGAGGACATTTATTGTCATCACCGTTATCAACCTTCCAATCTTCAATCTCTAGTCTTTGTTTCGATTTCAATTTCTAGAAACCTGAAAAAGACACGGATATTCCCTACACCTGAGCGTACAAAGTTGGTACCCAACTGCGGAGTTCAACATCATATGATAATCATCATCAACGAAGGTCACCACCCCTCACCCGGACCCGGTCCTCTTGTTCACCCCGCCGCCCGCCGATTGTGCCCGCTATGGTACTAACCCAATCTATGAAACATCAATGACAGATTGATAAACAGGGCATGGAGAATATACGGAAATAGAAACACCCAAACCCCGAAAGGGATACAGAGAGAGGGGAGTCCCTTGCGAGGACGAGGTCCCCCACGATACCGACAGCGACAAGCATGGGTGCGGAGATGCTTGTCCACCTCGAAAGCCGAAGACAAAATGGGAAAAGAGATCAAAAGTGAGAGGCAGGGAAGGATGGTGAAGCTTGTCTCAGCAGTCGCTCGCCCGCTTGCCGGCCATCCACCATCAGCCCGGCAGGCGACAGGCGTAACGGCAGGGGAAAGGGATATCAAACTGACCGACCGACCGACCGATAGCGACGGTGATCGATCGGACGTGGTGAACATGCGATGTGCTGCTGAAGGCGTTAGGCGGGACGGTGACCGCCTTTCCCTGAATGACACTAAACCCAAGTGGGAGTTTGGTCGTGCCGTGAAACTGGTGCTTGTCAATGTTCATAAGCGCCGGCAATGCTTGGGGTGGCCTGGCCTTGTCGGCCGGCTTTAAGTTCACCCTTTATTTGGGACTCGGGACGTGGGCGGGTTTTGTTGTTATGCCATTGTTTCTTTGAAAGAAAATATGGAAGACAATTTAAAGCGAAGGGAAGTTTTGGACGACCGGTGGCGTTTCATTGTGTCGATGGTTACAAAGGGGTTCTGGTTCTGGTATGAAGTCTTTTTACACTTCGGTATGCACATAGCGGACTTTGCATCATAGAGCAAAATCCCTTTGTATGTATATTGAGACTTTGATAGGGCAAATCCCAATGGTGCCATGACATGAGCCCATACTCTATCGGTGGTACGGTTTTCATTTGAAAATTTGAACAAGAAATCAAAACCGACTGGGAAACACCCATCGAGCAAAACGAAGATCATGCGGTTGAATCGAACGGCACTCACATTGACAGTGCAGCTCACAGGGTCACGCCGACCGCGCTGCGCTGCGCTGTCCCTTGCTCACGGCGGCCACTCACCCACCGACGCGCGTTGCCCCCAGACAGATTGATCGTTAAAGTTGTACCTTTGTATCTTTCCCAACCTTATGAACAGCGGATCTCGGCATCAGAAGTTTTCCGCGAACAAAACCTTTCCCTTGTCTTGCAAAAGTCCGACCAATCACCAATCAAACCGAAAATTACGAAAACGCCATGCCAAGCTTCCCGCATGAAAACCCGAATCAACTTCTCCATTTCCAAAAGTTCCGTTCCCAGACTCCACCCGTGCTAAGCGCGGAAGGCTGCGTGAATGCTTGGCATGTGACACGAAGCAAAATGCAGCTGACGATGCCCGCTATTCAAAGATTGGTCGATTGGCTATCGGGAGTTGCATGTTTCGTCAAGAGAAACGAGACTAAGAAAAGTCGGAGTTGACATTTGACACAGCCTTATGATGCATGCAGCTAATGATGAAGTACGGTGTGCAACTAAAAGAGAAAGCCTTTTGTTGAAGGAGTTCGTTCCATAGCATCGGAGGTGAAGTTGAAAGCTGGAAAGTTAGGACATACTATTGGACCGAGATCCGAGATTCTCGACGTGATCCCGAATACCGGAACCGGAGAACGGACAACGGAGCACGGAGCACGGGGTTAACCGCCGACGGTGAAGGAGAGAAGGGAAAAAAGCCTCCGTGTTTCAGAGAAGGGCGGCCAGGCGGCCCAACAAGAGGCATAGAAATCCGCAATGTTGTGCATACATAGCAGAATAATCAACGGAAGGTCAAAGATTGAGAGGCCCAACTGGAAACCCACGTACGACGCAGGAACAAAAGAGTCGGATTGGCTGTTGGATCTTGCTTTGATTCGCCGGTTTTGGTTTTCAACGTCGGTCCAGAAGGCGAGCGAGCCGCGAGAGCTTTTGCCAAAACTGGAATCCTATAAAATCTGCCTCGCCGCTTTTTCCAGATGTTTTTTTAGAGCGAGATGATCCTCTTCAAATGATGGGTGAGGTGAGTATGAGGCACCCACGCACCTCATAAGGAAAGGCTCAAATCTTGTCTCTCTTGTCTGGTGATGAGCGGTTACACCCATGTCTTCCCGTCTGTACCGTAGACGGATCGCCTCTGCATATGAATATTGTTTCGATCTTCGTCTCGCATTGAAGGACCAAGACGGTTGAAACAAACGAACACAAGGAAGAAAAAGAAGCTCTGTTTTATTCCCTGCCGGAGTTTGGTTTCCCCAGAATCCTTGGTGACAAAGGACACAAAAGCCCAAGACATCAATGCAGACGGTACCACCTTGAATTACAAGATGGTACCATTGTTGCGGGTTCGAAGACAGTGAAGTTGACAAGGTTGACTACCAGAACCAACCACCCTACCAAGGAACAGGGACAGAAGGATAGGCGCCTCCGGTGATGGTGATGCGACGACGCCAAGTGGGCGAGTGTTGCGGCGTGGTACGTTACCAAACGCGAATTCGCGTTATTCGCGAGTGAAGAGACTCCCGAAGCCTAACTGTAATCGGTATCACACCTAGGAACTGGCCGACCAGTGGGAGGAGGATGCGAGGGTGTTGCGATTGCGAAAGGTTGGAAAGGCTGGATGTCGCAACTGGAGGGCTAGTACCGGATCGCACGGATCACCTGGTTTGGTCAATGTTACGGTTTGTTGGACCCTTGAGCACTTGAGGTGTGGGAAATTCAAGAAGACCGTTGTCCGTCGTTCTTCACCGGCGTTGTCGTCGTCCTCCTGTCGTTGTTGGTTCAAGATGCGGGTGGCTTAGGTCTTTTAGATGATTCGCATTGGATCTTTCGGACTCTTCTTCTTTCTCTGCTGGTGAGATGCGCCACATTTCATGGACATGAGACCTATCAGCGTCATCATTTGTTTCGCTGGAGTGTCTTCCGTTACACAGCCGTTCCCGTCTGTCATTGGGGAAAGTTGGAGAAATGATATCAGATCCAGTGTCGGTATTGGCTTTTGGCACTGCTCGTCAGCATCAGCTTCATTTCTAGGAGTCATTACTGCCTGACAATATTGATGTTTGCACTCTTCAATGCTTTGAAATCGGGATCGAGCGAGAATGTACACTCGGTTAGATGCATGTTCTGTGGGAAGCAAGTGTCGGGCGACTCGTTGAATGCGCACATGTCCATGTCCCCGTCCCTGATCCATCCGGCTTGACCTCTTTGGGATGGCATGGGAGCCTGTGGGTTCGGTGGGTGCGCCTGGCCAAGCAGCACCCAAGCAGCGCTGCCGAGTTCCTTCCATAGGGCTTGGCGTTATTTCACAGGGCCTGAGTGGGCGTCATACCGGACCTGAGCGGACCTTATGAATAACCCGTCGCCCACCCGACCGTCCCCGCCGTGGCTGCCAGTCTCACACCCACTCTTCTCCCGCAAAAGGACGCAGCAGGGCCCTTTGCAGCGACTGCTGACCAGAAAATTGCCCAACCACAAACCAGCCGCTGCCACACGACCACTCCCGTCGCCGCCCTTCTCACCCGCCTCCCCTACTTCTTTACTTATACACTTGGTAGAGTTAAAGGTCAAGGTCGCACAACCACCAACACTCCCTCCCAACCCCGATTTCCGTGATCCGGCCGATCCGTAACCTACAGCTCTTTGTCTCCATTCAAGTTGAAATCAAGGAGGAAAAAGGATACCCGTCGACAACAATACACCCTAGTATCTATTAGCGACCTCGACCAACACCTCGACCAGCCTGCCATGCGCATGCAGCGACAATAGAATCACCAGACTTGGATTCAATCGCTCCTCCCCTCAGCAATCGCTAGCGCCCAGTTTTCGCTGGTGATCCCGCCGTCCGTCGCCCAAAATGCAGGACTTCGAACCCATCCTCGCCCCGGTCAAGCCGAAGCAGAAGAAGCTTCCCTTCGGCTGGCCGCCAGCCCTCAAGCTCTCGACTCTCAACCCAGTACCTCAGCGCCGACGGATGCGTAGGAAATCCACAGCTTCACAGGACAATGTCGCCGCCCTCAAGACCTCTTTCGACGTGTGGGAGAGCATCAAAACTCTGCAAACGCGGAAATGGAACATCTACGACATCCAGCATTTCGTCTGTCTTGGCTACATCCTCTTCTCGCTGTTCATCTTGCCCTCGGCACCCATCATCAAGACGGCCGTCCTGCTCGCTCTCGGCGGCCTGCTTCTGATGCCCATTACCCAGCAATTCTTCTTGCCCTCGCTTCCCATCTGGACGTATTTGCTGTACTTCTTCGCCAGCCGGTAAGTCGTGTTACAGAGCTTCCCTGAAAATACGAAAGCTAACCAAACTCGCCCTTGCAGATTTATTGCCCCCGAGTACCGTCCTCACATCTGGGTCAAGGTCCTCCCTGCGCTCGAGAACGTCCTCTACGGAGCCAACCTGTCCAACATTCTCTCGGCCCACAGCCACCCCGTCCTCGATTTGCTCGCCTGGTTCCCCTATGGTATCGGCCACTTTGCGCTCCCTGCCATCTGCAGCGCCATCCTCTTCCTCTTTGCCGCCCCCGGCACCACCCCCGTGTTTGCTCGTGCTTTCGGCTACATGTGCATGCTCGCCGTCACCATTCAGCTGATTTTCCCCTGCACGCCTCCATGGTACGAGAAGGCGCACGGTTTAGAGCCGGCTCACTACGGCATGGAGGGTTCTCCCGCCGGTCTCGCCCGCATCGACAAGCTCTTTGGCGTCGACATGTACACCACCAGCTTCACCACCGCGCCCCTGCCGTTCGGTGCCTTCCCCAGCTTGCACGGTGCCAACGCCGTCCTCGAGGCCCTGTTCATGCAGTACTGCTTCCCCAAGTTTAAGTACTTCTTCATCTTCTACGTTGGCTGGATCTGGTGGGCCACCATGTACCTCAACCACCACTATGCCGTCGATCTTGTTGGTGGTGGTCTCATGGCTGCTATCGCCTACTACATCTCTCGCGTCAGGTGGCTTCCTCGCCCCCAGCTCGAGAAGCGCACCCGCTGGGAGTACGAGTATGTCGAGTTCGGTGACCGCCCCAAGACCTATGATGAGGAGTACGGCATCGGCAGCGCCTACGGCCTTGGTCTCCTCGAGAGACGCACCTCGAGCGACGAGTGGACCCTTGGCAGCAGCTCCAGCCTCGACTCCCTGAGCCGCGGCGACACCGTATGCGGCAGCAGCAGCAGCACTCCCGATATCCTGAGCCCCACAACGCCAAATGACGATTTCAAGCATGTCGTGCTTGGTTTGCCCCAGGGTGATATTTGGAACGGAGCCAGGCTTGCCCGCGAGAGCGAGCTGAGCGATGTTCATGTCTTGAGCTGAATGAAGCAAGCTTCAAACACATGTTCTAGCTTAGCACTCGTAGGCTCGCCTCGTGGCTCTCGCTTATCATGGCACTCATCACCTTCGTTTCGATGATGCCATGGGTGAGCCGGCGACCTCTCGGAAGACAGCACACTACCCGCTTCGACCCAAATCGCGCCTTTGCGGACGCGTAGGGTCAAAGTAAGGGGCAGTGCTTGCCCCCCTTC